TTAAGAGTGTGAGACAGATTTAATAGGGGTAATTCTTGAACTAGTGTTATTTGAAGAATTATCTCGGTTCTCTACCCTCTGGGCTCTGGTGTTTTTCAGAAGCTATTATTATGGACTGACTCTGAATAAAAGAGCATGAAATTCTTACTATTCCTTCTCTATGTCTTCTTTGGATGTAGTGTCATGTTGTGAAATTTCAATTTACTCTATAACTGTTTTCTTCACTACGAACCATTATGCACTACCTTGACCGTTCTATGCCCTGAACACACACACTTGAATTTGCAATGGTGTAAATCTAGCAGTTGTACCATGAGAGCTCCAAGGTATGAGTCCTGTACACTCAGGGTCCTGGGATCAAAGGGCTGATGTTATGATAATTGCTACATAAGCTGTAGCGTTTCATCATTACAAACTTTTCTTTATTTGCCTTCAGTGTCGCAGTCATCTTGAGAGTGATGAGACGATATTTGCCGACAAGACAAGGGAGGTCAATTCGCTTAATGACACCATCAAGGAAATGGTACGTGCCAAATTATTCATTGTATGGTATTGGCATTTTGGGCCATGTGTGATTCAACTTTCTTTTTTGTGGTTGGGGGGGGGCTCCAGTCCTCTTGTCCCTCCTCCACCTTGATGGCGACTAACCAAGACAAGAGAAAACGAGCACCACACAAGAACATTGCTGTTTATAAAATCTTGAATATATCAACATTCAATTTCTCTCTTGATTCTTTTTTTGTGGTAAGTGTTTTACGGCGCTCACAACAGGACAGTGGCGGTCGAAGCCTACTCTTATCGATTTTGGACCACCAGGAGTTCTTTGACGTGCTCAACTTGTACACGGAACGTCCGAGATTTTTCGCCCTTGTCAGAGAAGACTAGGTGTAGATCTTTCCCACCAGAAGATCAGGGGTGTGGCTAAAAGACAGCAGTAAGGAGGAGCCAAGGAGTAGAAGTAGAAAGGTTGCAGAAAGAGTCAGGAGCCCAGAGGAGGGAGCAAACTGGGTGAGGGGTGGGGGCAGAAAGTGGAGACGAAAGCAGACGACAGAACATTGTTAGAGAGCGAGAACAACCCAAATAAAGAAGGGTGAAAGATTGGGACGATAGTGGAAAGCAATGAGCAAACCACAAAGGAACACCCGCCAACCATCCACTTTTCATGACATAACTAAACGACAGACGGAAAACAAGGGTAATTGGCTTATTTCACTGATAAAACGAAACGTTATTATTTCACTTCAATGAAAACTGTCCACCAGTACCAGCTCTCATGAAAAGTTCAGTGTGTTACATTGCGTGATACCAAAGTAAAGTGCATGATTTCTAGCTGTCAGAACCACAAACTTCACATGATGTGTCTACCTACCCAATGACTGAAAGTATGGGACTGCACGTTGAACACTACATGAGGGTAAATAATAATGTAAAGAGCATCATCATCATCATCAAAATAGTAATAATATATACAGCAGAGAGCAAAAAGCTTGACCCTTGGTTGTATTTCCAAAATATTTAATGGCACATTCAACGATTTGAAAAATAGGTGTAAATAGCAAAGTTATGTTTCTTTAACAAATTGCCCGAAACAGCACTTCTTCAAACGTTGTCTAATGGCTAAAGTGCAAGTCCTTAATGAGTTAAAGTAAAAATGCTTGCACCACTGTCCTTTCAAGAAAATTTGTAAAAAGAGGGTTAAATAATGAAAGACAACTGATTATGCAACACTGACCCTGTTCATCAATATCTTTGACCAGCTGCAGAAAGCGGGCATCTCTCCGCCAGTAGTCTGGAGCCCAGCCACCAGGTATGATCAAAGCACACAAATCCTGAGGTTAAACAACAGAGAAAAAAAAATAATTTAATGACCAAGACCTGGACTGTCAAACCTATGTCAAAGCAAGACCACTCTCAAAAGGTGTTTATTCTAGTGATGAGAAGTCCATCAAGACAACAATGGTCATTTAGTGTGGGGTGGAGGTGGGGTGGGGTAACACAGATAGATATTTAAACTACACAGGGAAAGAAAAGAAGTGCCGGTGGTGCCCTCCAAGCAACCATGCAGAAAGATAGTGTGGTCCTACAAAAAAGGGACTCATACAGATGTATCACACAGGCAACAGGACATGACGATTAATATGAATCAGATTGATTAAAAAGCATATGACAGATAAGATGAGAAAATAGAAATGATATCTTCATCATCACTTTTAACTGAAGAAGTTATCATTGTAAAATGTTCTAAATCAAAGGCTTCAATGGACTTTTAAACAGTTACCAGGCTTATTCTAATTTAAGACAACAAGTCACACAAAGAGAAGATAAAAAAGAAGGAAAGAAAAAGGAAAGCGTAAAAGCTGAGCTTACAAAACTCCTTTAGTTTAAAACTTTAGAATCATTTTTAGAATCTTTATTAGATATTGAAATTCATAATTCAAAGTCACCTTCCCTTAAACTTTTTCCTCTGTCTCTTCCCAATATATATAAATATATAAGTATA